CTTCAACTTCTCCAAAGCACTATGAATCCAGGACCATACCTTTAACACGTGGTCTTTGGATGATACTTAGGTAAATCATAGCAAATGCAAACCTGAAGTTCTGAAAATGGATACTAATGTTGCATACAAAAGAGACTCCATTAGGAAAATGTTCCAGGTGAGACATGTTCCCAAACTTCTATTATATAGATTTTAAAGAGAGCTTATACCTACTTCAAGTAGTTAGGAAGACCTTATGTTGGACACCAGATGTGGTCGTTGTCCCCAACTGCACCCAAATGTCCTGGGGGCAGGGGAGTGAGTGGACATGGAGTATTATGACACAGACTCTGGGAGTTGATGAGCAAAACTCAGTTTATTACGAAAAGGGTTAAGTTAATAGGGCAGAAATAATGGTGACTGGAGGTTCTGCCCTCTGGGCAGATTCTGAGAATAGCTTTCTGGGAGTGCCTTAGTTTTGTGGAAATATTTTTATCGCATGTGTTTGTTTTTTGCTTTGTAGGCATATGCCTGCTATAGTAGTGTGTCCTGTGCTTACTCTAAAAAACAGAGTGGTTTCCTAGTGACAAGCTGGGAGACTTAAGTATCAGGAAAGCAAGACACTTGGGCCAGTCTCTGATGTCTGTGAGAAAGGAAGGGTCTCAGAGATTAGCATAGCTCTGGTATTGCATACTGTATTTGTTCCTTTTATTGCTGATGTGACCAAATACCTAACGAGAAAATGTTGTGGGATAAACTTTTTGTACACTCTAAAGACATGTCTCTGCCTAAGGCACATGCTGATTGGTTAAATAAAGAACTGAATGGCCAATAGCTAGGCAGGAGAGAATAAGTGGGACTTCTGGAGAGAGAGAGGAACTCAGGGTTGGAATCTAGACATGCAGGAGACACTAGCGAGATATGAGGGAGTCAGATATGCAGAATGAAGGAGACATAAAAAGACATATAGCAGAACATAGATTACTATAAGTGGGTTAATTTAAGTTATAAAACTTAGATAGAAGCAAGTCTAAGCCAAGGCTAAGCTTTCATAATTAATGATAAGACTCCATGTCATTAATTTAGAGACTGGCAGCCCAAAAGAAAGTCTGACAAGGAAGACCGGCTACAAGAAACAACTTAAATGAGGAAGGGTTTGACTTACTGTTTGAGGGCAGAGCCCATCATGGTGGGAATGGCGCAGAGGCTGGAGTATTCAAAGCTGCTCTGCAGACCAGCAGGAAGAGTCAATACAGGAAGTAAGGCCCATGCCCACAGAGTCACTTCCTCTGGCCAGGCCTCATGCACACTTACAGAGAAAAGGCTGTGTGTGGACAGTTAGAGAAGGCGGCCACAGAAAGCCAAAGAGAGGGTCCAGAAGGAACCAAGCCTGATGTCACTTTGATCCTGGACTTCTGGGTCTCCAGAACTGTGGGAAAATAAATGTCTGTTGTTCAAGTCACCAATGATGTGGCATTATGACAGTCCTAGTAAACAAATACATACAGAAACATGTCTTTATTTATGTAGTCGGAACTAGAGGGAAAATAATGCTACTTCATTAAAGTCAATACTGTACATACTTAGGGGATCTTCTCTCTCTGTGTGTTTGTGTGTGCGTGTGTGTGTGTGTATGTGTGTGTGTGTGTGTGTGTGTGTGCTTGAAGTCTGTTCGCATATAAACGAAAATGAGAAAATAAAGCCCCAAGAACATTTGGTTTTGCTTACCTCACTAGCGATCTTTTCTTTTGGCAGCACCATCATTCTTCCTAAGTGCACCATTACATCAACTTACCTCATTGTAACAGGTGCCAATTGGTTACTAAAGTTATTTACTTATATCTATGGGTGTTTATCTATATGCATGTCTGTTTATCACTTGCAAACCTGGTGCCCATGAAGGTTAGATGAGCCACCTTGTGGTGCATGGTACTGAACCCAGGTCATCTGAAAAGACAACTAGTCCTCTTAACTGCTGAGCCCTCTCTCTAGCCCTGATTAGCTATTTTCGCTTGTGGTGATCAGCTCTGGTTCTGTACTAGGATTATGATTCTGTTTCATAATGGCAACCCTGGTTTTCAATGCTTATTTTCAAAATGAACACTCTGTTGGGGAAAGGACTATGTCATATATTCAAGTAAACTATAAGTTATATGCTTTTAGAGTTGACCAATTCTGACTAGTAATTCTTCAAGCCTTCAAAAATACAGCTGGAAATGTTCAGAACAGGCCTTGCGTCAGTATATTTCAGTTTTCCAGACCATCTGACACCCTGCCCACTGCATGTTGTTTGTTTCCTATAAGAACTAGAGTGAGGATAAGGGAAAGCACCAACCTAACGAGGCATTCCTTCATGTGGCCTTTCACAGCTCTGTTCACGTGCACCATCCAACCTTTGTGGTGGTATGGTGGCGCATGCCTTTAATCCCAGCACTCGGGAGGCAGAGGCAGGCGGATCTCTGTGAGTTCGAGGCCAGCTTGCTCTACAAGAGCTAGTTCCAGGACAGGTTCCAGAGAAACCCTGTCTTGAAAAACCAAAACCAAAACCAAAACCAAAAAAAAAAAAAAAAAAAAAGATTTGTTATCATACCTTAAGAGATTGCAGAGAGACCACACTTCCAGTCTGGACTTCAGCAACAATTCCCGTCTGTTGTGGGTATAGGAACTTACAGTGACAGCATGACACTAATCAGTCTTCTCTTCTAGGCCAAGGTTCAACATGAGTTAGTCATATCTCTAACCATATGATTCACTTAGCACATGGAGATAATGTTAACAGCTTCCTTGAAAGGGAAAATGACCCATAGGCCTCATTTTCTAATCACTTACTTCGTTCATGTTAGTCTCTGAAATAAATTCCTTGAAATAGTTAAAGTCTAGAGTAGCTGTTATTTTTCTTAGTGGACTATAAACCTTCTAATCTGGGTTAGGGTGTTCCTTAGTTTATAGGTGGCTTTTTTTGTTGTTGTTGTTATATACCTATTAAATGTGGTTTGTTCTAGGGCTGTGCGGGCACACAACAGGGACACAAACATATGAATGAGATACACAATATGGAATGTTCATAATTAACAGAATCACATGAATGCTCAGTGATTCCCTCGTTCCTTCTTCTGACAGACCTTGTTCCAACTGCTGAGTATAATCTCATGTAGCTCTAAGTAACTGGTACCCTTGAAGTCTGCTCTGTATTACAAGAGAGCCAGAGTGAAAGACCCGGATGGAATAAATAAAAAGTAAGTAAATGTCTCTTGAGAATTATTTTAGAGGCAAAGTTCTACTGAAACAGCAGAGAAAGGAAGGGAAAACAGGTTGAGAAGGTACCTGAGGGAGGGAAAGGAGAAATCTGTCAGCAACTTTTCAGTTCAGTAAGTCAATTTTTTTTCCTGTTTCTTCAGCAACCTCTTTTTTCCCCCAAGTACCACACAGAAGCGAACTTATTATCAGATGTAGATTTATGTGGCCAGAATTTTTACTTACTGATTTGTGAAACCTTGGGCAATGTCTTAATTTCCTACCTCATAGTTGTTTTCTCTAACATTGTTTGCAGACATTATTTATGACGAGCCAGGTACTCTTAGCACTTCAAATATATGAATTTAGTTCTCCTTAAAATCTTATGAAGTAGGTGTTTCCTTCCACCCCCCTTTTACAGAAGAGAATATAGTGAGGTCGGAACACAGAAGTCCTGTAGCTTTCTTAGGGTAGTGCACCTAGGAAACTGAACCTAACTATCATCTCCGGAGTCTAGTTTTTCTGCTCCCCTTGCATGTTGACATCAAATGGTAGAGTTAGAACTACACAGATGCTCTCCAGGGTCCTCACCTCCTTACTCCATTTTTGAACGTTTGATTCCTTTTATCAGTTGCCATGAATTTGGAGTAGGAGATACCAACGTGAATACGGCATATCTTCTCCTTACTGTCCAGAAATGTATGACTATGAAGCAAGGTTCTCAGCCTTGCCCTTGTTTCTCCCATTTCTTCTTGAGTCCTAATGCCACAGAGGAGAGCTGCTGTCATTAAGTGGAAACAGTCTACTGGAGGGCTTGGATGAGGATGGGTTAAGGGTAGGGGCGAGACCTAAGGCCCTTTCTTCCGGTCCGAGCTTCTTCAGCTTAAAATGGCGGGATTTGGGCTAAGGTTCTTTCCCTATTCAGACTGCCATGTAGGCTTGCCCTTCCCCCATCAGGCTCATCTGACCGCTCTGGGGTTGTTGATCTCGGGGGTATCTGTCCTCCCTCTGGCATCTCCAGTTGCCCCATGGCCAGCCTCCCACCGTCACACCACGCTCCACGGCGTGGAGCAACCACTCGGGCCCAAGGCCAGCAGCCCTGGCCTAGCAAACCCCCGGGCAGCGATGGCCGCTGAGTGCCTGAGGCGCTCCCAGTCACCCTGGCCGGAGAGCGTGCACGGAGGCTCCCGTGAAGACCCCGCCCTCAGACGTGCGTTTTCAGGAGCTGAAACGATCCAGTCTCCCCGTGGCCCGGGGAGAGGACCTGGCAGGAGCGTGCACAGTGAAGGTGGGAGCCGTACGCCCCAACGCGCTGATC